TCTGTCGTGTAGTCTACAGAAGAAAATGGAATGAGGATTGCGCATAAGGTCTGGCAGTGTCTCATCTTCGACGCCACATGCATATTCAAACATGTCTGCTTTATTCTGAAGATCAGAACTACTGCCATACAGCAAAACGTAAAATATTGATTTAAGACAGAAACCAGACAAAAGTCAGTCATAATATCGGCGTTTCCCCACCCACAAAAAGTAATGAATACGCGTTTCTGTCTATTTTTTACGTTTCTGACGGACAGAACGACCTTTGGCAGAGAAGGCAAGATGAAACAGAAAATCGGGAACTATTTCAACGTATGGCAGATAGACTGCGATGAAAACACAATCCCTGTTCTACCGGGAATCGAACACCGGTTGCGCAGCGCATACTTAGCCTAATCGCATATTGCCAGTGTAATCCAATCAAAGAGGATGATATATCAGTGTAGTCTAAGAGGGTAAAGGTGCCGAATATGACAATAATCCTTCATATTCAAAAAAATAAAAGACTTGACATTCATTTCACGTCAAGTATAAGAAATTAAAATCAATAAAAATCAACGAGAAACTTTAAAATTGAAGAAATTTAACATACACTTGCTTCCAAATATGAGAGCCATATCAATGTGCCCATGAAATTTAAAACTATTTTATTTTTAATATATTTGACAAAAAACAAAATATCAGAAGTTCTTGTATATTAGTTGCTGTTCGTGTTGGAGACACACAAAGGGGACCGAGAGCCCCCACAATGCCTGAGACCCCAGCGGCAGCACTCCAGGCACTGAATCCATTGTTCTCGACGCAGATGTTGGGAGCAAGGGTAAGTCAGAATAAAGTTTAGTGTCCTCATTACCGCCAGTTCAATCGAAACTTTCAGAATTCACTGAAAATTTTTGTAAGTCGAAATTTTCGGTATCAGAAGAGAATCTTTTCATGTTTTCTTGACTACTGCTTCATTTTTGCAACAAAACTTTTCATTTTCCTGCTGCAGATCGCTTTTGGCCTGGTACAGCTTCTCCCTAGACTCGCCAGTGAATTATCCTCATAAGGAAAACAGATTATAACAGCGGTACTGCCACCCCCAAGTTCCTTATCTTGCCCAGTCTTTCTTTGCACCAAGCGACAGAGCTTTGATGTCAGACTGTTCAACGCGAGAGCTTGAAGTTGGCACAGACAACTTTAAGGCTGCAGGCTGAAGCTGGATGATTACTGCATCTTGATGTTCAGCCTCGCCGTGGTCACGGAAGAAGTCAGACATCAGGTGACAGAATGTGTTCAGATTCTGCCAGCGCTCTTAACAGCAAGCTCAAACATTTTCTAACACAGGGCGGCAACCCAATTTGGATTAACACCGAACCACGTCTCCTGACAGTAAGATCAAACAGTTTCTAACACATTGTGGCAACCCGAATTGGATTAACACCGAACCACGTCTCCTGACAGTAAGATCAAACAGTTTCTAACACATTGTGGCAACCCGAACAGATTCTGCCAGCGCTCTTAACAGCAAGCTCAAACATTTTCTAACACAGGGCGGCAACCCAATTTGGATTAACACCGAACCACGTCTCCTGACAGTAAGATCAAACAGTTTCTAACACATTATGGCAACCCGATTTGGATTAACACCGAACCACGTCTCCTGACAGTAAGCTCAAACAGTTTCTAACACAGCGCGGCAACCCTATTTGGATTAACACCGAACCACGTCCCCTGACAGTAAGCTCAAACAGTTTCTAACACAGGGCGGCAACCCGATTTGGATTAACACCGAATCACGTCTCCTGACAGCAAGCTCAAACAGTTTCTAACACAGAGCGGCAACCCGATTTGGATTAACACTGAATCACGTCTCCATCTCTTGCTTTTAACAAGTTTTCAATGGAAGCTCTCGCACTCTGCACCCCACGTTATCAATTCAGTAGAAAACAATAAATCGCGATATAATGTTTTCTACCCTTCTCAATGTGTGTGTGTGTGTGTGTGTGTGTGTGTGTGTGTGTATAATGTCCATTAAGAACCGAACATCACAGGCTCTTCACGAAGTTTAGAAAATTGCCAAACGCTGCAGTAAAAATGATCGTTTGCATCCACCCAGAAGAGTGAAAAGCAAAATAGAACCTGCTGGCGACCCACAGCCAACAGCTCCAAGATATCCCATATTAGACCCAGCAGACACTGAAAAGTAAAACGGAATTGGGGTTCTTGTTGGAGGTGAAGTCAAATTAGTAGCAGCACTTCCCTGTACTTCTTTCGAACGATTTTGTACCGTATAAATTATAATTTGCCTCACTGGTGACAGCAGCGCTCAAACTGAAAGTTTAAAGAATCTTAGATTTAAGAAAGTTTAAGCAGCGATGTTTCACACAGCAAAGAGACTACACTCGGGAGATAAATCAGCACTACCATGAGGTCGAAAATTAACAGATGCAGCGTTCAGTATCTAGCTTCTCAGATCAGGCAAGGTCTCACATATTCTGGTTGAGGGGTTCTCAAACTTTATCGCTGGCGTACCACTAATTATAATGTAACACATTATATGTACCACTAACCAAATGCGTTCAGGGAAAACTTATCTATGTTAATATTATCTTTTGAATTTCTTACTTAGTTCGCGTACCACTCAACATTGGCTCACGTACCACTAGTGGTACGCGTACCATAGATTGAGAAACGCTGTTCTGGTGCATTATATCTATATTATGACCAAGAAAAATCCTGTTTGTGTCAATTATCCTTAGAATACAGTTTCTGTAGGCACGAACTCTTAAGTACGTTCTACTTAAGGCGCAACTGAACCGGTCCTCGCAGGGTAAACGTGGCTCTGGTGCGATGCTGACCACGCAGTTTCTCTGAGCACTGAAGATTAACAGCAATGTCTGGGGCTTTGCTCTCATGTCCGAATTCTTTTTGAATAGCGTGATGCTATGACACAACTTACTACGCAAACGAAAAATCACAGACACGTTGGAAATCTTAATAGAATTGGAAAGTACCTGAGAAACGTCAGTGATCTTGGTAAAATTAAATATTAAGAGTATGCAGACTGGAAAACTTTACACATAACGTCTGTCATTTGTCTCCCAGTTAAGGGAAACCCTCGGTTAAAAGATACAAACAAATATTATCATTTAACAGCAAGGGCCCACAGGCACAACAGACTTGCTGTTAGCCGACCGAACTTCACCTTTGGGGCGTGGTTTCAGTGACGCAGACGAAGGGAAGGAGTCAAGACACGTCGGGAATTCCACGATATATAACATTATTTTTAGCGGTTATTCTTTGTGATGATGGAACTTGGTTGAGGCAATAACATAAGAAAAAGCACACCAATGCTGTTTACGTGAAATGTCTAAGGCGGATGACTGTATACTAATCTGAAGATAATACGAGGGCGTTTCAAAAAGTAACAGCAAATTAAATATTTTGAGATATATAATTTAATTAGAGATACAAATGATTTGTCATTTTTCTATATAATCACCCTCGTTTTCAATACACTTCTCACACCGTTGGGCCAATTTCTTTATTCCATCAGAAAAAAATGTTTTTGGTTGTGTCTTCAGCCAGGAATGCACCACTTCTTTGATCTCGTCATCATTCCCAAATCAAAGCGTCCTTCAGGAGTCCAAACACACGATAATCAGAGGGAGCAAGGTCAGAGATGTAAGATCTGAAATCTCAATCTCCGAATGGTGTCGAGAGTTGCAGCAGCCGTGTTGAGGGCGTGCGTTATCATGGATGACCGGAGCGTCGGTCATCACGGATTGATGTTTGCCCATTTTTAAACGCATCTACCCACTCGTACTCTTCTCTCTCCAATGCAGTCATCTCCATACTGTTGCAGCATTCTTCTATGAATTTCATGAGGCTTCACACCCTCCGATCACAAAAATCTGATAATTACTCGCTCCTCCTCTACGGCAGTGGTATTCAACCTGGGGTACACGAAGACATCTCAGGGGGTACGTGAAATTTAAAAAAAAAAATTATTTTATGATAAACACTGATTAATCTGTAATGTAATGTATTTAATTTATTTTAGATATAGATTATATACTATGTATAACTTGAATTATACACCAACAACTTTGGGGGGTACGAAGTTGAAGAGAAATTATATCTGGGGGGTACGCGAACAACAAAGGTTGAATACCACTGCTCTACGGTGCAAACAGCTAAGGGCGCCGCCATTTTGTATAGGCATCCCTTCCAATTAAGCACGCCACGCCATCAATTGGGCAGTGCCAAAACCTTCTCTAGGAATGTATCTTCCCTGCGCCGGAGTTTGAAATGCCTGGGGTATTATTTTCGTGAAATATTGCCAATTTGCTGTTACTTTTTGAAACGCCCTCGTACATACCCAGAATAAGTCAAGAATTTTAATTCAATAGGAATAAAACCTTTTTAAAATAACACGCTGTCAGACGTTTGATGCCCACACATATCAGTCGTGACACTCCTACACCATTTCTGTCGCTTCCTGGAAGAGGAAGACAAATAAGTTGTTTTGTTCCGTCTTACCTTAAGTTCACGAAGTGAGCGACGTGGTGCCGATATTGACGGTCTGCGCGTGGTCACCACTCTGGATGGAGAAGTGCCGGTATGAGATGTACTCCTGGGGCAGAGGCTGGTCGCGCTTGCTGGAGGCGCGCTGCTTCTTCAGCTTGAGGTAGCCGAGAACGGACACCAGCACGATGAAGACCACGAAGCCCATGCAGCTGCCCACAATGAGCCCCAGGCGCCGGGTGAGGATAGAGCCGCCCTCAGGGAGACCCTCGCCCACAGACGCTGCCTCGAGCGTACGCACCTCGGTGCAGCGGGTGGACGCGGAGTCGCTTAGCAGAGGGTGAGTCATGTTGCCGCCTGTCGCCCAGTTGCCGAGTCCCACAACGCAGATGAGGTAGAGAGTGTCTGGCGAAAGTTTGCCCAGCTTGACGGTGCGGGAGCCCCGCTCCAAAAGCTTGCCGCGCACCTGCACCGACAAACCCAGTGACACCGGCAAATGGCACCTCGATAATGACTTACTCATAATACATATGGCTCCCTTTTGAATTTTTAATGTAATTAAGCCGATGACAGCTGCCTCAGGGCGTAGGGCGTGTACGACGTTCACTGTTTTACTGGTCCACCACACAAATAGTTCTTACGCCTCACAGGTTCCAGTCGAAGAACTTTTCAACCTGGTGAACGTTTACCAACATACGATAACAAAATAATCCACGGCTCTAGTTAATGTAACAGGGTTATTTTGCGTTGCAATTAACTTTTTAACAGTAAGATGGTAAAGTTGCGTCATATTGTGATATAATAAGTATATATTAAATTTTGTCCGTCTAATCACAATAATTCTTATTAAATATTAAAATATTACAATAATTAACATTTAAAATATTTAAAATATTAAATGATGTTCTTTATCGAAATATTCGATTTACATTAGACCATCATTTTTCATGTTTCACGACATGTTTCAGTTCCTAAAAGAACCATCCTCAGGTGTATATAATTATATAAAGCTTCAAAACGATAAATAATTCAAATACAATTTCCATACATTATGCTAGCGTATATTTTATCAGATTTTTACCAGATATCAGACGATGTTCTTTTTCAGATTTTTATTCCATTTTTAATAACACACTCGATGTTGTTCTGTATATATATACATCATGCTCAATTTGACTTTAGTGTGGGTGAACGTTTTGTTGTTTTTGTATCAGTCTGTAAAGTAAATAACATAAAGGTTAAATGAATATTAGTAAAATAGAAAACAAAGTAATATATATTGAAGATAATTTTTGAAACATACCAGAAATGTTGCAGAGGAGTTACATATGTCTGGAAGTTTTGCCGTGTTTTGACTGAACTGTGTTCGTTGTGGATTGCGGTTGTCTTGTAGGGATGGCAAGTGAAAGGAGGTTGTTGGAGGTGGAGTTAAGTATTTGAAGGGAATTGAAGATGGGATTATTGAGATAAATATTATTGTCATTCAAGCAAACATTTTGTTTGAATGCTTGTTGTATATGATATTTTTCTATTGTGTCTCTGTGTTTCTTATTGTATACTATTTTTAAGATGTCCATTGTATCTGTTATCGTGCTATATGCATGTCCAGTGTTTAGAATGTGTCTGGCATATGCTGAATTATCCTTATTATGTTTTATTGCTGCAATGTGTTCTTGATACCTATTTATGAATGTACGTCCAGTTTGACCAATATAAGTTAATGGGCATTCTTTACATTTTAGTCTGTATATTCCTGGTAAATTGTATTTGTTATTTATGTCTATTGGTGGTTTTTGTTTAAGGAAGTTTTTTATTGTGTTATTTGTTTTGAAGGCTATTTTTAATTTGCTTTCTTTGAATAGTTTTGTTATGAATTTCGTTTCTTTTCCTATATATGTAAAAGTGGCCCATCTTTTTTGTGTATCT